AATCTAATTTATTCATAAATTTAGGACAAAATGTGATAGGACCAGGGGCAGACTGACAACCCACCTTTTGGGTGGAGCTCCGCTTTAATGATATTTCTTGATGATGACTTAGTTATAGGAAGCCTGCATGAATATACCTGATAAGTGAAGCAGTAGGGTCAATGTTTTGGTTGATTTTTTAGCTTAGTTTGCCATACAAAATGCTTCACATTGATGTTTTATATCTCTCCCACCAGATTCCTCACTGCGGAGATCCTTTGCGGCCTGGAGTTCCTTCACGACTGGGGGATTGGATCTCAAACCAGGAAACATTCTACTGGATAGCATCGGAAATGTGAGATTTGCCAACTTTGGCACATCAGCAATGGGTGTGAACCCAGCCTGCACCCAGAAGCCTAACATCGGCACTTTAATGTACACGACTCCAGAAGTAAGTATTGGATCATTTTGGTTTCCTGTCTTCTTGTCAGTAAACCTATTGGTTTTATACCTTGAAATCTGTAATAAAGATCTCTTAAATACTAACAATTCTACTCTTTTTGATATTTCCACAGATCTTTTTGCACCAGCCATATGGATTTGCCACTAACTATTTTTCCCTGTGAATTATAGTATATATCATGGCAATTGGAGATAACCCATTCAAGTGCAAAAACACCAAGAACAGGACAGACGATTCCGTGCTCGAAGACTCAGTTGTCAATCATGATCCAAATTACCCTGAGGATTTCAGTATGGATCTCACGGACCTCATAGGGGAAAGGGTAAGTAAACAACAATTTGTAGGTAGCAAAAACATAGCTATTCTATTAATATTATAAAAGTAGAATTGTGTAGTTATTGCCTTTGTACCAAGGATAACATATTATTTGTATATTTTTACAGCTCCTCTGCAAATGCCCACACCAAAGACAGAGGTTTGTTGAAGACCTGAGAAGCCACCCATTTTGTGAGGAGGTAAACTGGAGGAAATTGGAAGCTAGGAAAGTGAGACCACCATTTACCATGGATATAGTACGTATTTAAACCAGGCATTGGTCCCTGGCAGTTTATTGTCCAAAGTTCTGCAGTCTTTATTTTCCCAGCACCTGAGTGTGCATAACTATTTCAAATAGAACGGTCATCATTGTACATATTCTATAGTAATAATGTTTCTTCTCTTCACAGTGCTCACCAATAAACCTGAAGAATGAGATGAAAATGGGGAAAAACCCATTTTTCCCAACGGAGAAAAGAAGCGTGAATTTACAGAAGAAGGCGTAGAGCTTGATTGTGAATTTTCTTTCAGCAGTAGCAGATGAGGAAAAATTCAAATACCACAGGAGTCATCAGCTCCTCCTGCAGAAAAACCCTCAATCATCACAGAAGACCCGAAAAAAAGGAAAAAAAAACAAAAATAGAAAAACATTACAAGATCGCTAAGGTAGGTACCTGTCTCCAAGAGAGCAATACCACAGCTCTCTTCACCAACAGAAGATGGCACTCTTTTTGGTAACCACAGGAGTCAGGAGAATCCTCACACTTTTTTGCAGGTCTGCGTTGGACCAGCTGTAAGGGGAGGTTGGAGGCCGATACTGATTTTGCAGGTGTTCGTTGGATCGGCTGTGAGGGAAGGTTGGAGGCCAATACTGAGTTTGCAGGCATGCGTTGGACCAGCTATGAGGGGAGGTTGAAGACCGGTAGTCTATTTGTAGGCATGCGTTGGACCGGCTTTTAGGGGAGTTTGATGGCTGGTAGTCCTTCTTTGCAGGTGTGTGTTGGACGGGCTGTGAGGGGAGGTTGGAAGCCAGTAGTCTCTTTGCAGGTGTGCGTTAGATCGGCTGTGAGGGGAAGTTGGAGGCCGGTAGTCTTTTCTGTAGGCGTGAGTTGGACTGGATATTAGGGGATGTAGAAAGCTGTTAGTCTTTTATGCAAAGTGTGCGTTGGACCGGCTATTAGCAGAGGTTGAAAACTAGTAGTCTTTTTTGCAGGCGTGTGTTGGCCTAGGTATTAGGGGAGGTTGGAGGCCGGTAGTCTTTTTTACAGTAGTGCGTTGGACCAGCTATTAGGGAAGGTTGGAGGGCAGAAGTCTTTTCTGCAGGTGTGAGTTAGACTGGCTATTAGGGAGGTTGAAGAGTGGTAGTCTTTTTTTTTGCAGGCATGCATTGGGCCAACCATGAGGGGAGGTTGAAGTCTGGTACTTTTTTTTGCAGGTGTGCATTAAACCAGCCATTAGGGGAGGTTGGAGGCCGGTAGTCTTTTTTTTACACTAGTGCGTTGGACTAGCTTTTAGGGGAGGTTGGAGGCTGGTAGTCTTTTTTACACTAGTGCGTTGGACCAGCTATTAGGGGAGGTTGGAGGCCGGTAGTCTTTTTTACACTAGTGCGTTGGACCAGCTATTAGGGGAGGTTGGAGGCCAGTAGTCTTTTTTGCAGGAGTGCGTTGGACCGGATATTAGGGGAGGTTGAAGATTGGTAGTATTTTCTGCAGGTGTGAGTTTGAACAGCTATTAGGGGAGGTTGGAGGCCAGTAGTCTTTTCTGCAGGTGTGAGTTGGACGAGCTATTAGGGGAGGTTGGAGGCTGGTAGTCTTTTTTCCAAGCGTGCCTTGGACCAGCTATTGGCAGTGGTTGAAAACTGGTACTCCTTTTTGCAGGCATGTGTTAGACCAGCTATTAGGGGAGGTTGGAGGCCGGTAGTCTTTTTTGCATGTGTGCGTTGGACCAGTTATTGGGGAGGTTGGAGACCGGTAATATTTTCTGCAGGTGTGAGTTATCCAGGCTATTAGGGAAGGTTGAAGACTGGTAGTCTTTTTTTGCAGGCGTGTGTTGGACCAGCTATTAGGGGAGGTTGGAGGCCGGTAGTCTTTTTTGCAAGCATGCATTGGACTGGCTAATAGCAGAGGTTGAAAACTGATAGTCTTTTTTTGCAGGCATGTGTTGGATTGGCTATTAGGGGAGGTTGAAGACCGGTAGTCTTTTCTGCAGGCGTGAGTTGGACCGGCTATTAGGGGAGGTTGGAGGCTGGCAGTCTTTTTTGTTGGTGAGTGTTGGACCGGCTATAATGCCAGTTGTCTTTTTTACAGGTGTATGTTGGACCAGCTATTAGGGGAGGTTGGAGGCTGGTAGTGTTTTTTGGTGGTGTGTGTGTTGAACTGCCTATTAAGGGGAGGTTGAAAAATGGTAGTCTTTTTTTAGCAAGTGTGCTTTGGACAAGCTATTGGCAGAGGTTTAAAACTGGTAGTCTTTTTTGCAGGCATATACTGGACCGGCTATGAGGGGAGCTTGGAGGCCCGTATTTTTTTTTTGTTAGAAAAAAAATGTGGTATGCTTAGTGCACTGTAGCAAAGAATGGGCATGGTTTTCATTGGGGCTAGGGTGTTGCTAGGATTGTAGAAGACCTGTGGTGTGTTTGGGAACCTTAGACAAAGTAATGTGATTCAAATGATGAGTGTAGTCAAATTATGGTAACAGTGGGAGGAGCTTAAAAGGGCGTGGTTAACTAAAACAAAAGCCTTCTTGTACCCATACAATAGTCTTGGATTGCTGTGCCACAAGCAAAAGTCTCACAGACATGTACAAACCTCCGCATTCTTTTTTTAAAAGAAGAAAACTCTTTCACTATGTACAATTTTGCAACAAAGAATATAGACAGAGAGCTAACACATGGTGTGAACTGGCATTTAAAGTGGAATTACACTGTATCTATACCACAAACCAAAAATACTAATTGATTCATTTTTACTATTCAAAACAAATTCACCCATCCATGTCTCCATGCTTTATTTTGCTGAGAAGTCACTTTGAAAAACATCCCCATAGCATTTCTAGCTGTGGCCATTTTGAGTAAGGGCAGATGATCATGTAGCATTTACTTCCTTAACCACTTCATTACTGGCACTTTTACCCACTTCTTGCCCTGGCCAATTTTCAGCTTTCAGTGTTGTTGCACTTTGAATGACAATTGTGCAGTCATGCAACACTGTACCCATAAAAAATTTTCATAATTTTTTCACACAAATAGAGCTTTCTTTTGGTGGTGTTTAATCAACACTGAGTTTTTTTTTTTATTTTTGGCTAAATAAACAAAACAAACCCTGAAACGTTTGAAAAAAAAAAAAACATGTTTTTCTTTGTTTCTGTTATACAATTTTGCAAATAAATAACTTTTCTTTATAGATTTAGGTCAAAATGTATACTGCTACCAGGGGCGGACTGACCAATTGGAAACTTGGGCGCTGCCCGAGGACCCGGGGTCAGTAGGGGGCTCCGTGAGATGCCCCTGGTACCTTTTTCAAAGGCTTTTTTGAGTTTGGGCAAGGACACGGGGGCCCCATGATCCCCTATTGCCCGGGGCCCCATGAGTTGTCAGTCCGCCCCTGGCTGCTACATTTATTTGGTGAAAATACCCCAAATTAGTGTATATTATTTAGTCTGTAGGAAAGTTATAGAGTCCACAAACCATGGTATATATCTGACAATCAATCCTGATGTACTGTCTCACTTCTTGAGGCCCAAAAACACCAGTATAGTACACATACCCTTCAAATTACCCATTGTGGAAAAATAGACAGTCCAAGGTATTTAGTAAAAGGCATGGTGAGTTTTTTTGAAGTTGTAATTTAACCACTTGCCTACCAGGCACTTATACCCCCTTATTTACCAGGCCAATTTTCAGCTTTCAGCGCTGCCGCACTTTGATTGACAATGGCGCGGTCATGCAACATTGTACCCATATGAAATTTTGATCATTTTTTTCTCACAAATAGAGCTTTCTTTTGGTGGTATTTAATCGCCACTGGGCACTTTACTTTTTGCTCTATAAATAAAAAAACTGCAAAAAATTTGAAAAAAAAAAAAAAAAGTTTCTTTGTTTCTATTATAAAATTTTTCAAACAGGTATTTTTTCTCCTTCACTGATGTGCGTTGATGAGGCAGCACTGATGGGCACTGATAGGCAGCACTAAAGGGCACTGATAGGCAGTACTAATGAGGTGGCACGGATAGGCGGCACTAATATGCAGCACTGATAGGCGGCACTGATAGGTGACACTGATGATGGGTACTGATAGACGGCACTGACTGGCATCACTGCTGGGCACTGACTGGCGGCACTGACTGGCACAACCCCTGGGCACTGACTGGTGGCACTGACTGGCAGCACTGCTGGGCTGCACTGGTGGGTGGCACTGGTGGGCAGCACTGGTGGGTGGGCACAGGTGGGTGGCACTGGTGGGCACAGGTGGGTGGGCACAAATGGGTGGCACTTCTGGGCACAGGTGTGTGACACTGCAGAGTGGCACAGGTGGGTGCACTGCTGGGCGATCTGCTGGGCACAGGTGGGCGGAGCTAGTGGGCGCACTGCTGGGCACAGGTGGGCGGAACTTGCGGGTGGCACTGCTGGGCACCGATCATCAGGGCACTGATCATCAGTGCCCTGATGATCGGTAGTGCCCTGATGATCGGTGCCGATCCCCGCTCTGACAACTGCCGGTTCTCGGCAGTACTTTCCTCACGATCTGACAGCGTGAGGAAAGTGCAGCCGAGAACCGGCACTTGCATTTCCCTCTGATCAGCGTATCCTTGGACACCGCTGATCACGTGGTAAAAGGCCGCTGTGATTGGCCTTTTACCACATCACGTGATCAGCTGTGTCCGTAGGACACAGCGATCACGGAGATCGCCGGGTGCGCGCCCCCTGGGGCGCGCAGGAGAGCGCGTTCTGGGAGGACGTCATATGACGTCCACTCAGAACTGGCCGGCCGCAGTGAAGCCGTCATTCGGCTATCTGCAGTCAGCAGGTAGTTAAAAAAAAAAAAAAATCACAATTTGTTTTTTTTTGGGTTTTTTTTTTTTTACATTTTGTCACCAGTCCAGTACAGCGTTATTATATAACTGGTGTGACAGTGATCAGGGACACTGACTGGTGAAAGTATGTAAAAAAATTAAAATAATAATTTAATTTTTTTTTTCAAATGTTTCTATTATTTTATATTGCATAATTTTTTCTTTGTTTTACTATTTTTTTTTTTCAACAGACTGTGACCAAAGCAATACAATGTTACCATAGTAGCATTCAACTACTCTGGGCAAGTGATCAGGATTTTTTTTTTTTTTTAACATTATGATTGTTAATACCAATGTATTTTATTGATATTTGCAACCATTGTTACTGAATGAAACTGATTCATTCAGTCTTTTGTTGTGATTAGCTATGATTGGGCAAAGCTCATCACATGATACAGATTGGCTGTGATTGGCCCTGTCTGTACCATGTGATAGTTTTGACCAATCACACAGTAACAACACAATTGTATACAAAGGATGGCATGACAGGAAGCCATCCATTGTATACAATTGTCATGTGATCTGCTGTGATTGCTCACAGCGGATACATGACACTGGCAACGGGCCAGTGTAGTGATATGTCATCCACTGGTCACAGCCGGTGACAGATCGTGCCCCTGCATGGCTCCCGCAGCCGCGTGAGCGGGCTCTTTCTGACAGGACATCATATGACGGCCACTTAGAAGAAGTGTCCTGCCTGGCCTATAGCAGATTGATGGACACTCCTTCTGAGGTGTTAAATCCACCCAAAAATGGTGGCCGTTCAGGTGAGAGTTAGACCACGCTAGACCACTATGGGTGCTGGCTAGGAAAAGAGCTTGTCCAGGCTTCAAGCTGTAGCATATTAGGAAGAGAAGTCTGTAAGCCACACATCAGATAGCAGACCAGTGTGGAAGAGAGAATGGCATCCTCAGTCCAGGCTCCAACCAAGTCACATCCCCATTACTGAGCTCTGAGAGGCAGGGCAAAACACATTGGGGGTGTGGCCTGGTCGGAACCCAGGCTGAGGCTGCCATTCACTCTTCCACACGGGTCTGCTATCTGATGTGTGTCTTAAAGACTTCTCTACCTGTCTTGTAGTCTCCATTAGTAGTCCATGCCACAAGGTGACAACACAGGAGCACAGTTAGAGGACAGGGACAGAGTGCTGTCACCCTATATCAGGACATACCTATATCTTACAGCAGAGTGCCTCAATCATGAGATCACCATATGTTGTTTTAATGAAAGCTTCAGATTTGAAATTGAATTTTGAAACAACATTTAACATGCTAAAGCTTATAAAATGTAGGTAATTGAGTTCAAATGCAAAACACAGGGAAGTGTGCATGTATTTTAGAGATGTACTGCATTTTTTTTTTAATCTTGCCCTCACATGTGCTTTACTGCAAATGTTTTGAGTGTAAGTGGCACTCTTTATTAGCAAACTTAAAGTGTAAGTGCAGGGGGCGTGGCCTGGCATGACATGGAGTAGGTCACCGGGGTGTTAGAATAACAGTACAACTCACGTCTCCCCCTCGGAAAACAATGGATGCCAGTGCTAAACTGGACAAGAATAGACATAAAGAGCAGGATGTGCCAGGGGAAGATGGCGGCTCCTCCTCTACTGATCAGGAATCCCCATCAGCAGAGACGGCCCGGGTGTTGGAAGCTATCTCGGCCTGCCAAACATCACTTATATCCAAAGTAGAAGAAGTTAAGATGGATATTTCCCTTATTCGGCAGGACCTCCAGAAGCTTCGGGCCCGCGTATCTTAAGAGGATGACAGAGTGAGTCGTGTGGAGGATGCCCTCCCCCTGCTGCAGGACTCCTCTGAACAGGTGCGCCATCTTCTCTCCCAATTGCAACAGAAGCAGGATGACCTCGAAAATAGGGTGAGGCACAATAACCTGTTTCATTGGTCTTCCTGTGGGGGAAGAGGGAACCAATGCGGAGGGATTCCTGGAAAACCTTCTTATTTCTACCTACAGTAGAAAGGCCTTCTATACTATGTTTGTAGTGGAGCTTGCCCACCGCATGGTGGCTAAACCACCCCCTCAAAGAGCCTCGCCACGGGCCTTCATTGCTAAATTTCTCAATTACACAGATCAGGATGCCATACTACGCCTCTCCAGGGCGAAAGGTAATATACCTTTTGACAACACGAAAATTGCTGTTTTTCTAGATTTCTCTGTGGAGATACAACATCGCCACAATAGATTTCTAACAGTCAAACAACACCTTAGAGTCCGCCATCTTAAGTATGCCATGCTGTACCCAACACGTGTCCATGTGGTTGGAGAGGACCGTGTACACTTTTTTGAGGAACTGGAGGCTGCCAACGCCTGGCTGGATCAGCTGGACCCTTCCTGAACCTGACGTTCAGCCTACATTTTGTCTTTCTCACTTTCTATTTGTCATGTATTCAATTGCTGTTTCTGGAAGACAAATACATAGTAACTACGTGGCATCCTGACGCACAACCTCTCCTGACCATCGTGGGTGCCTCTTAATTTCTGCTATACTGGATGCTATCTGTGTATATATGCACTATGTCATCTCCTATCACCCACATGCATGGAACTACCCTCTCATACCCTTTATTTAACATATGTCAACACATGGCCTATGCTTCCTCCCCTATGGGATGGATGCCAGCTTGCTGGCTCCTGTACCTACCACCTTGTCTCGTTTCTCAGAGATTATTCGTCTTCCTAGTTTTTTTTCAGGTTTGCACAACCAGATTTTTGGTGCACTGTTTGGGACTAATGCTCGCACAAGTTGGGGTGTGTGCAGAGCTGGGAGGGCTAGGGGTTCTTTACACTTTGGAGACAATGTATGAGATATTTGTGATCTGTTATTATATGTATGTCTGTACTGTAGAGGTGAGGATACCCCCTGTAAGCTGGCTCCACATCATCCCATGCCTAGGTCACTTTTTGGTGTCCTAGCATGACTACGCTGGCCCCTGAATATTTCTAAGGTATCTTTATGGCCCAACTAAAATGTCTCACTTGGAATGTCCGCGGTCTCTGTAATAAATTGAAACGAACTGTGGTGTTGACATACCTTAAAAAAAAAGGGTAAATATAATGTCCCTAGTTGAAACCCACATAGATGGTCACCTGCAGAAAGCCCTTTGGAGATCCTGAATAGGATGGAACTTCCATGCTACTCACACCAGCTACTCTATTGGAGTCTCTGTACTGATTGCAAAATCAGTGAACCTTGAGCCATTGAATGTTATGTTGGACTCTGAGGGCCGGTATGTTTTTTTTTTTTCATGTGTGTATCTCGGGCAATCCCATGCTATTGTTAGCCTGGTATGTTCCTCTCCCTTACAATTCCGCTGTACTCGGTGATGGTTTTAGCTTTATGTCCCAGTATGCCTCAATTCCTGCGATTTAGATGGGGCACTTTAACACAGTCATCAATCCTTTGCTGGACCGATTTAATCAACCAATACTCCCTCCTTCAACCACACGGGAAACACCTATTAACTGATTTTGGTCTAATTGATACCTGGAGGCATCTCTATCCCCAACGCAGGGAATACTCCTGTTTTTTGTCACACATTCCAACTTTTCAAGGATTTACTTTATCGCTATATCCACAATTTTAGGTCCCAGACTCTTGAAGGCAGGTTTTTGCCCCATATTATTGTCAGACCATGCCCCCTACTGGGTTACTTTACAGGCATACAATAACCTACTTGTCCCAACATGGCATATAAACCCCTTTTGGCTTACAAACATTTCTGATGCTGATAACCTCGGTGAGGAATGGACCTATTTTTTCATGATGAATTACAACAATGCATCCCCTCTACTGGTGTGGGAAACCTTCAAAAAACATGTCCATCTTATCCTTACTATGCGTATATGTAGAACTAAATGTACCTCCACATTAATATTTCAACAGCCTAGTTCACACCTTGCTAGTCTCCAAGATCAGTATCTTGCGGATCCCACGCCTGATCAGTTAACCAATTTGAAACTGCACGCTAGATTAGTGGAACAATTAACCTATGAAAAAGCCAAAAAAAACTCTTTTTGACATGTCAATGCATTTTTTTAACATGGTGAATGCCCTGGTAAATTATTGGCATACTTGGCTCATATGGACTCCAGACCCCCCGTCGTGATCACCTTGAAAACCGCCACAGGAGTTCTTGTGTCAGTGGAATTTGCTAACTATTTCCGTGATGTGTATACCTCTAGAGTTACTTCCACACCACAACTGTCAGAATATTTACAACCCATCTCCTTTCCAGCGGAACAGGTTACCATACTTGAAGCTCTACTAAGGGAGAAATTGAAATAGCTATCGGTAAATTTAAACCCGCTAAAGCTCCAGTCACTGATGGGCTGCCTCTCGAGTTCTATACACATTATGCCGAGATGTAGCTCTACGAAGCCATTTTTCAGACGTCTACCTTATTGGACTCTATGAGTGAGGCGCTTATAGTCCTGATCCCTAAACCAGGCAAGAACTTGTGTATGCCGGATTCATATCGTCCCATCTCACTTCTGAAAACCGATAAACTCCTTGCCAAGGTATTGGCGATATGCCTGAATATGGTTATTACCTCCGTAGTGCATCCAGATCGAAAGGGCTTTACGCCTCTAAAAAACACCACATTTAACACCAGGAGGCTGTTTATGAATCCACAAGCTACTCACGACCATGTTGGTAAAACAGTTGTGGTTACTTTAGAAGCCACCAAGGCTTTTGATTCAGTTGAATGGACATATCTATGGCTCTGTCTCCAAAG